CCCTCACCCTTCCCACAGGGCTGTCCTCCCTGTGCTGCTGCCCTCCCGTGCTCACCCCTCACCCTTCCCACAGGGATGTCCTCCGTCACTGTTACTCTGCCTTTTTCTGAATGTCGTGCAGTCTCTGAAACTAGCTGCTTTCGCTCACTGTGAGGGATGCTCCTTCCTTTTTGTTGCTGGGTGGTGTTGACACCGTGCATGTCTGTTATGTCCATGGGCTCAGTGTTTCTGCTCACCTGCTGAAGGATATTGGAGTGTTTCTATTTCAGGGACAATTGAATGAATAGAGGTGCTGTAACCTTAGTGTGTAGGTTTTTGTGTGAAAATAATTTTCAGTGCTGTTAGTAATAACCTACAAGTGAGATTGTTAGGTCATGTGGTAGGTGCATGTTCAGTTTTTAGGAAACTACAAGCTGTTTCCCAAAGTGCTGTGTGATTTTACCTTCCCCCAGCAGTGGAGGGAAGTTTCTAGCAGCTTTGCATCCTAACCAGTTCTCCGTGTGCAGTGGTTTTAATTTACATCATTGCCTGATGATGTTGAGCATAGATTTACGTACTATTTTCTGTGTTTTATCTGTTGAAATTTTTGCCCACTTAAAGAAAATTGGGTTGTATGGTTTTTTTTTTTTTAATACTGATTGCATTTGTTAGATAAAGTCCCTCTTATAATCATGTCTTGCCCCCCAAAAGATGTGGCACACACCAAGACCCCACCCCTCCCTCCTTCTTTCTCTCTCTGCCCTCCCCTTCCCCTACCCCTACTGTGTCGTTAATTGTCCTCATATCAAAATTGAGTACGTAGGATTCATGCTTCTCCATTCTTGTGATACTTTACAAAGAATAATGTGTTCCACTTCCATCCAAGTTAATATAAAGGCTGTAAAGTCTCCATTTTCTTTAATGGCTGAATGGTATTCCATGGTGTACATATACCACAGCTTGTTAATCCATTCCTGGGTTGGTGGACATTTAGGCTGTTTCCACATTTTGGCAATTGTAATTTGAGCTGCAGTAAACAGTCCAGTGCAAGTGTCCTTATGATAAAAGGATTTTTTTTCCTACTGGGTAGATGCCCAGTAATGGGATTGCAGGATCAAATGGGAGGTCTAGCTTGAGTTCTTTGAGGGTTCTCCTTACTTCCTTCCAAAAAGGTTGTATTAGTTTGCTGTCCCACCAGCAGAGTTAAAGTGTTCCCTTCTCTCCACATCCACACCAGCATCTGCAGTTTGAGATTTTGTGATGTGGGCCATTCTCACTGGGGTTCGATGGTATCTCAGGGTAGTTTTGATTTGCATTTCTCTAATAATTAGGGATGATGAGCATTTTTTTCATATGTTTGTTAGCCAGTCATCTGTTGTCTTTACAGAAGGTTCTATTCATGTCTCTTGCCCATGGATATAGGGGATTGTTGGCTTTTTTAATGTGGATTAATTTGAGTTCTCTATAGATTCTAGTTATCAAGCTTTTGTCTGATTCAAAATATACTTTCCCATTGTGTAGGTTGTCTCCTTAGCTGTACAGAAATTTTCAGTTTAATTAAGTCCCATTTGTTTATTTTTGTTGTTGTTGCAATTGCCATGGCAGTCTGCTTCATGAAGTCTTTCCCCAGGCCGATATCTTCCAGTGTTTTTCCTATGCTTTCTTTGAGGATTTTTATTGTTTCATGCCTTAAATTTAAGTCCTTTATCCATCTTGAATCAATTTTTGTGAGTGGAGAAAGGTGTGGGTCCAGTTTCAGTCTTTTACATGTGGATATCCAGTTCTCCCAGCACCATTTATTGAATAGGGAGTCTTTCCCACAGAGTATGTTCTTGTTTGGTTTATTGAAGATCAGGTGGTTGTAAGATGTTAGTTTCATTTCCTGGTTTTCTATTGGAATCCAAATGTCTATGTCTCTATTTTTGTACCAGTACTATGGTGTCTTGACCAATATGGCCTTGTAGTACAGCCTAAAGTCTGGTATGCTGATGCCCCCAGCTTTGCTTTTATTACTAAGAACTTTCTTAGCTATATGGGGTTTTTTCTGGTTCCATACAAAACGCAGAATCATTTTTTCGAAATCTTGAAAGTGTGATGTTGGTATTTTAATAGGGATGGCATTGAATAGGTAGATTGCTTTGGGTAGACATTTTAACAATGTTGATTCTTCCCAGCCATGAGCAGGGTATGTTTGTCCATTTGTTAATATCCTCTGCTGTTTCCTTTCTTAGGATTTCATAATTTTCTTTATAGAGGTCCTTTACCTCCTTTGTTAGGTATATTCCTAGGTATTTCGTTTTCTTTGAAGCTATGGGAAGGGAGTTGTGTCCTTAATTAGCCTCTCATCTTAGCTGTTATTGGCGTATACAGAGGCTACTGACTTGTGGACATTGATTTTATATCCTGAGACATTACTGAATTTTTTGATGACTTTCAGGATTCTTGTGGTTGAGTCTTTGGGGTTCTCTAAGTATAAGATCATATCATCGACAAAGAGGGAGTTTGAGCTCCTCTGCTCCCATTTGGATGCCCTTTATTTCCTTGTCTTACCTAATTATATTGGCTGGAACTTCCAGCACTATATTGAATAGTAATTGTGACAGAGGACAGCCTTGTCTGGTTCCAGTTCATAGAGGAAAAGCTTTCAGTTTTATTCCATTCAGTACAATATCAAGCTGGAGGTTTGTCAGAGATAGCTTCAATCAGTTTCAGAAATGTGCCTATACCCTTCAGTGTTCTCATTAGAAAAGGGTGCTGGATTTTATCAAATGCTTTTTCTGCATCTATTCAGTGGAACATAAGG